TGAGCTACGTTGTCTGTCCCTGCAGCTTGCTTTAGTTACCATGGAGATCCTGTGGGTATTGCAGATTCCTGCAGGTAGAGAGGGAAAGGTACCACTTTCTAATATGACACCCTTTATACATGCTGATATATACTCTAATGTATGGCTGTTTAATGGTTGATAAATCATTTACAAATGTTTTAAAGTTATAAGCCTTTAACAAGAACAACTTTTGGTTGTGAAAAAAAAAACCTCTGGTTGTTGGTAAAATAAATTTGGTCAAACGTTAATAAATGGGTTTCTCACTATCTAAGCCAATCTGTCTGCAGTTATACATGTCAATAAAGTAATTAATACTCAAGATTTTCACTTACTAATAAGCATAATAGCAAACGTTAGTAGTTCATTTGAATTATTAATGTTAAGTCATTGCTCAACGCATTTTTACCAGCTGCCTTATCCCTGAATATAAGTGGTCTTTCCATTGAACTTAAGAGGGTCCTGCTACAGGGGGATAAACCCCGCCACAACCTGACAACCCAAAATGTGTTCTTATTGATGGTTTATACGTGATTTATAAAGCACTAATAAATAAAGAAGCCAGTAATAACATTTTATAGGAGATAACTGGCTTGTTGTTGACTTTGCAAGTTGATCAGTTTGTAAACTACAGAGGTTCCTTATGATGACCCTGGCAGCATCCAGCAACAGTGAATGAGTAGTTTATCAGGTCAGTATACAGTGAGCAGAGAGCTCCACCCTGCGGCCAAAGTGAGAAGTGGAGCTTTATTCTACTTCACTACCAGTTCCTACATTGCTGTGATGTGTATCATTAATGTTTTATTTTTCATTTTGCCTCAGGGGAAACACAGTGAGAGGGCTGGATTATGTATTCTTGTTTACTAATACCTCCTCAACATGATTTCTTCCAAAACAGTAGACACGGATATGGTGTGATATGATATGTCCCCTAGGGCTCTAACTAACGATTATTTTCATGATTTGATTAATCTGCTGATTCTTTTCTCGATAATGTCAATAAAAGGTCAGAAAATAGCAAAACAGTGCAGCTCACAATTTCAGCAAGAACCAAGGTGACATATTTAATTTGCTTGTTTTGTCCAGCCATTAGTCCATACCCCAAAAATATCCAGTTTATAATCACACAAAGAAAATCAGCAGATCTTCACACTGAGAAGCTGGACACAGAACATGTTTTGCACATGGTGTCTGTGCCATTGACCCTGCAGCCTTAGAAACAGGTACAGGCTTTTGCAAGTGTAAATAAAGTAAGTTGCTGGGGTAAGTGTGGCACAGTCGTGGCATCCCACTCTCACTAACAACTACATTCTTTAACAGGCTTATGCGCACACACATGTACACACACACAAACAGACACATTCATCCACATGCACACAGACACACACAGTATCGCACTTATTTAAATTAATTATTATTCCAGCTCTCGTTGCTGTGGTGTTGCTTATTTAGTGTGCTGGACTGTTTCTTGTTTTCATTTTTCTCTTAGTTGTCATACTATGTCAGCTGTTTATTGCTGCTGTTCGGCTGGTTGTCTTTTACTATTATTATTATTTTATTGTTTGTTTTTGTTTGTGTTTGTTTGTTGTTGTTTTTCTCTCCCCAAGCCCCCCTCTCTGTTCTATTGCAGGTTTCATTGCTTTCTGCAATTGGTGTTTCCCACTGCCTTTCCCTGTTGTCCCCACCTTCCATCCCCCTTCTCTTACAGGTCTTGTCCTTTCTCTGTGCTGTCTGTTTGTGTCCCCCCTATCCCCGTGTCTGCCCCCCTGTCCGCCCGGTGACAAATCAATATATAATTAAATAAATAATAAAGGACAAAGGAGTATATTAATACTCTCTTGTTAAAGTAAAATCTGTCTGGCACAATATGGTATCCAGGTCATCATACTCTATACCAGGCTGCTGGGCAGGACAGGTGTAAATAAAGTAAGTTTACACATTTCCCCTTCTCGGAATTGCTTCATTTCAAGGATTTAGATGCCTCCAGATGTGAAAGTATCCAGCGTTTCACAAGAAGAAGAAACAAAGAAGTAGAGAAAGTATAAAAATAAAATATGTGTGTAATAGGCTATACATTTTAATGATCTATAGAGACCCTTCAGATTAATCACGTTGCTGAACCACTTCTCTATTGAAAGCCTTAAGATAGTCATAACAGGGATGTTTTTCTGTAGCAGATCATCACGGCTCGCTGCCCAAATCCAGCTGCCCTGCCTGTTTTGTGTTCCTATTTCATAAATGATGTCTTTAATATGTAACCAAATTTAAATGTGATGTGATTATTGAAGCTGGTGCTCTGTATCTGGCTTCCCCTTTTGTGTCGATGCCTGTCTGAAACACCGCAGCTTACAGCAGATATCAACAGACAGACAGCGGCGCGGTTGTAATAAACGGATAAAAAGCAGGATATGCAAAGCCACGCAGAGAAAGCCTATTCATGTCTCGTTGAAGTGGCCTAACAACTGCTCGGACTGGCTTGTCCCTCTTGTGTGATGTCATCCAATGGATGAGTGGCTGGCGGCTGCGATGCGCATGTATGCAGTCCACTGCCTCAACGCATCACAGCGAACCGCACTTGACAGCTTGCCAGGTTAGAGGAGAGGGAAAAAACATACCATTCAAGGGAGGAAACCAGACCTGCTGAATTTCCACCAGCCAGCCGTCGTCCGCATCCACCCGAGGTAGAGGGTTTCTACTCCCATCGACATCTTGTGCATCATTTTTTTTTTTGGTGGGGAGGGGGATTAATTATGTGTCCCTTCTAACGCACAGATGACAGCGTAACCGGGGCAGAAAACTGTTAAGGTACCAAAATACAGCCGCTTTGTTGAATAGGATCTGTTGTGATTGGACATGAATTCGGCGGAACAGACGGTTACATGGTTGATTACGCTCGGGGTGCTGGAATCGCCGAAGAAGACCATCTCGGATCCTGAAGCATTTCTGCAGACCTCCCTGAAAGATGGGGTGGTCTTGTGTAGACTGCTGGAGCGGCTCAGCCCGGGGTCCACGGAGAAAGTAAGGGCAATACACCCCCCCCCCTTCCGCACACACACACACACACACACACACACACACACATACACACACTCGCTCTCCTCTGCATAACCAACCGCCAGCCCTGTCGGCGTGTCTGTGTGCTGCCCAGATCCGTGAAACCGACGCGGTTTGTTGTCTGGCTTCTCTTTCTGCCCAGTGGTCCATGAGGCGATTTCTTTTGTAGGTCACGGCAGCCCGGGTTATTGTCTGCGAAAACAGAACTACACGGTTGCTCATACGAATGTCAGCGTGCGTAAAGAGAAAGGCCGTTGTTTCCACTATGTATCTGCTCTAAATAACACAGCATCACCGCAAACAGAAAAATTATTGATCAACTGTTCCAGGAGCTATTAGATCCACCAGTGCTATGGTCTTAATAATGAAGGCCTCGTTTAATATGCTTTCAGTGCATGTTTAAACACTCAACAGATCTGCATTATCGTTCGAAGCCCCTGATTTTTATTCCTTTTTGATCCAGGCTGATGTGGCTTGTATGTCAGTGTATTTTGATACACACAGTGTGATCAGCCAGGAGTGACTAGCCATCTGTACACAGACCACAGCAATAAGAGTGGGCCGCCATTGACTGCAAAGACGCACAGACAGAGACGGACCCTCTCCCCATTTAAAGAAACAGCGCAGTGTTTGTGTCTGTCAGCGTACAGCGTCAGCAAGTTCAGCGGCTAGTAGTTGACGGGAGGCAATGTTTTTCCTGAAAAGAGGATGTTCTGCTTTTCCCTGCCACACACGCGTGAGAAATTTGCCTGGTAAACTGGGAAAACAGCCCCCCGCCTACCCCCTCGCGCCGACAATGGGGTGCTGTTTTATTTCCGTGACATCACCAAACGATGTTTCACCATTTTGCACAGGAGAGGATTTTATATAAGACATCCAGGGCACAACTGGGAAATGGGTGTCTCATCATGGTGGCTGAAATCCAAATCAGTGTGGCGTAATGAGCCCACATATTACTCATGTAAATTCTGTTAAATCTGCTGCAATCTCATCTGGGGATGATTTTATGTGTTTTATTGACATATAAGGACTAAGAGGATTGGAGCAGGAAAAATGGTCATGGGTTAAAGGGCTCTGCCCTGCCCCGCCCGTTCTGTTGTCAACTATCAACAATTGCTTTGATAAATGAACCCAAATGGTAAACAGTGGGCTTACAATACAAATCTAAAACATTTTCCTTCCTGGTCAGACAAGACACCTTTCAGTAACTCTGAAGTAAACTGTTAAGCCTAACATAAACACACATTTTTAATAGGGATCCCATTTATTTGCTTCTAACAACTTGTGACCGAAATATGTGCTGAGACAGACCATCAGTGCTCTCTGGTGGACAAACTATGTAGGCTAATGATGAAACTTTCTAAATTAATTTCAAACTTTGTAAATATCAGCATGGCTGATATAGCCTATCAGTTGCACTCTAAATACTACTACGGATTGAAACTACTACTACTAATATTTAACATTTCCACATGCCATGCTTTCCATTTACATGTCGCCCTTCTATAACGAGGAGTAGGGTCTCCAACATCCCTGGGCTAGTCATTCATTGGCCGGTCATGTCATGCCACTTTCTGGCCCAGATAGCCCTCATCTGGTTCTGTTTTCAGTTCACATGGCAGCGCTTCAGTCATCCCTCTCTGTGTGTGCAGTCCTGTATGTGGGCCAGTAGAAATTTAGATATGTGGACCAGAGCTGGGTCAGATGTCAGTTATATCAGGGTACATACCTGTGCTATATAGACCTAAGATGATAAATACTCTATCATGGTTCTTTCCAATTAGCTATTTTAGATTCCTCCCATTTCCATGCATACTGTGCACACTGAGAACAATGACTGAAGTGTAGCCAAGGGAACTGAAAACAGAACCAGATGAGGGCCACATCTGGGCCAGACCATGGCACAATATGACTGACCAACCCAGGGATGTTAGGGACACCCTAATCATTATTATATACGCTTATATAATAATTGCACTTGTGAAACATGTAACTGTTTGGGGAAAAGTGGGAAGAACTGCATGGGGGAAAATGTTAAGTAGGCTATTATTATTAATAGTAGGCTATTGGTAGAAGTAGTAGGCCTAGTAGTATTTTGATCGTCACTGATAAATCATCCAAGCCAATATATATCTGCTGTATATCATATCAGTGTCTGTATGTCAGCCGATGAGTAGCCTAACAAGAAATGTCAGTGCAGATGTGCCAAAGATACAGAAACAGTGTCTACATTAGACTACGTAATTTGTCCATTAGAGAGTATGGGCAAGTCTTTTTTTCAACTATAAAATATAGCCTACTGATAAGTAAATCTCTTAATCACAATTATTTAATAATAAATTGTAAGGGATCCTTATCAAGAATGATTATGTTTAGTTTAAAACATAAATATTGATATTGGTATGGCCTCAGTTGGGCTGTAATTACACTTAGTTGCCAGTTTGGGGTTTAGGTACACCCAGCTAAAAGTATTGCAGTCTTATACAGCCCTGCAATAAATCCTCCCTTCATGAAGGTTAAAATGCAACTTTATATTCATTTCAGAGGCTGTAGTTTGTGCTGCTGCTGAACTGGATTGTCCTATAGTCTACAGAGAGATGTTGGAAATATTTTGTCCAGCCCATCTATGTCTGTGAGGGTAGAATGAATCCTTCCTTACCACTTCGTTGAATTATATAAAACACCAGTGCATCCATAGGCTACATCAACATCAGCGGGGATCCCTATTTGTCAACGTCATTTCCCCTCACCAAACACTACAGCCTCCTCCACTTCCCCGCTGCGGGATCTGCGTCCAGCCTCCCGGAGTGTGAGGCCCCGGTGCAGATACAGACACTGTGGTGCGTGTAGTTAAAGAAGATACAATTTAAGGACCGCTGCACTCACAGAAAACCGCAGTGTGGAAAGCAAAAACCCCGCAGCGTGAACTGGAAGTATACTCTAACCAGCGTTTCCGTCCGAATTCCAGATTTACCAAGAACCGAAAAACGACGGCGAGTGTTTGAGCAACATAAAGGAGTTTCTCAAGGGCTGCACATCGTTTCGCGTCGAGGTGAGTACCTTTTCAGATTTTTGCCTTATCTTGCGTTTCTACCACAGCCGTCAGCACATTACAACACCCAGAGGTGCTGCTCGAAATGTAGAGTTAGCATGTTCAAGAGGAGACACTCATAACAATAAACAATGGGTTCGTGGAGCGGGCGGACAGAGGGAGGAGGAGGGAACTACGAGCCGAGAATAATCACCCGGGGAGAGATTGGCTTGCCCGTCCAGTGGCGATACATTTGCAACATTTTGGCAACCTTAAGTTACACTGCTTGATAAAACTATTACACTGTCGCCTGTTCACATTTCCCACTGGGGTTTAGCAGCGCCTGGGTGATGTTTACGCGTTGTTAATTAATGCAGAGCTTTGTCCTCGGACTCATGCGTGGCTTTATTGTCACCACCACTTCACACTAGCCCTTGGGTACACATTTTTGTTAAGAACAAATTGCTACTGCTGCAGCTATGGGCAATATGGACCCATGGTTATGCAAGTAGGTCTTGTTCTTACAGTAATTACAGTCATATTATTAGAAGGTGTAAAGTCTAAACATGTCCTCAGATCAAGTAGGCCTACCTCACCCATGCAGGCGTATATAATAGTATTTGGGTAAGTTGTAGTTAATGCTAGTGAGAATACCTCCATAATGTTAAGCAAATGGAGGACAGCATGCTGTTTAAGGTTGCATGTTGGCCAGAGCATAGAAGATTCATTGAACCACCCCAGTTTGACAATACATCTCAGTGTTCCTCACCATTGCCTCCCCCCACTGAGTCTCCAGTCACTGAACAAGATGTGGACATGGGGTGAGACAGAGTGCTGTCATGTTAAGTGTGTGAAACATGCCCTTTAGTAGTTACAGGCAGCTGAAATGCCAGGGAAGCAAATCACATGGCTATCATGATTTGTATTGGAAACGGCCTCTGTTTGTTTAGGCTCACCACAGAGACTGTTTCTGGCAGCTGCGTTTACCAATAATCTGCAGGTTTACTGCTAACAAATAGTCAAACCCCCCATCATAATACTCCTTTATGTCATGCTGACTTATGCCTTCACCGGCAGAGATAGCGTGCTCAGTAACGTCACCGTTACTTTTACTCTATGTTCCATCCTTGCATGCAAGAGTGTGTCCAAATATATGTGACTTTTTTGTTGTTGAGTGAACCGAACAGAGCGGGATTACCGTAGTTTGGGACATACGTGGCATTCTGCCCTGCTCACCATCTGTAAAGCAAAGATGGATCTTCTCCAGAGCCCAGAGCACAGCTGGCTCTGACCCCAGGTAGCTGTGGCTGCAGATTAGAGCAGTGGCCGCTTACACGAGAATAACAGTCAGACAGATAGATGTGACGTTTTTGCGTTTCTGACCTACCTCTTTTTAAAGTTAAGCAGGAAGTTTGGCTGAACATCAACCTGCGAGCCTTGCTATGGGGGCATTTCAACAGGACTGATTTCTTTTAGATCTATTTTGGATACATCTTGCAGATTTAAGACCATGTCTGACACTTAGGCAGCTGTTGTTACTGACCCTTAGCCCCTAATGTCTTTGACCACAGGAAGTGATCATTAGAGTTCCCATGACCCTGATGGTCCCACTGGTATAGTAACCTTACCCGGTGTCTACCCTGAGAATAATCACGGATCCATCTGTCGCAGCCAATTGGAGACTTCATTGCCATTAAATAAAAATAAGCTGTTGTATTGCATAGTGTAGTGCTGTTTCATGTATTTGGACACTGACATATTTTTTTGTTGTGTTGGCTGTAGGGCCAGCAATGAATCTGTTGAGTTTTGAAATGAATTGAGTTGGTGTTTAAGATATGATATGTCTTGTAAAGTAGAGAAAAATGCCCAATGTGAAATCTTCAAATGTGTTGTTTAGTCCGACCAACAGTCCAAAACCCACAGATTTTCAACGTGAAATAATATTAAAAAACAGTAAATCATCACATCTGAGTTGCTGGAACTGGAGAATATTTGCCACGTGTGCTTGATTGAACAACTGTAACTAATAAGTGATTATCAAAATTGTTACTGAGTCATTGATCAATCTACTGTGCTCTAGTTGGCTTTTCACTAAAGCAGTTTGGATTTAAATTAAAGCAATGACCATGAGGTCAAAGCTACGAGTTATTTACATCCAAGTCAGTATAACCAGTGTCATAGTCGTTTTTTTTCATTATCACCACAATTTACTTTATAATAATTATTTAGTGCACCAAAAGTAAAATAAGCTTCAATTAAGGCATATTGATATCAGTTGCAAATATCTGTGACCCATATAAATCAGCAGCAGGTTGGTACTGCAGCCATTTTCACCAGCGCTAGACCAATAATTTGATTGGGGCGATAGATCAAATCAGATTTTGTAAATTCTCAAATATATATAATATTGGCCTCCAAAATCCAGTATCAGTTGGGCTATAATCTTACTTCTTGCTTGCCTCTGGGGCTTTTTGTCTTCAGTCTGGTCTTCAAGAACTGAAACACATGATCAGTTGGATTGAGGTCAGGTGACTAACTTGGCCGTGAAGAATATTCCACTGTTTGGTTTTTAAGAAAACTGCTTGGCTGCCTTGTCGCTGTATTTAGGATCATTGTCTGTTGAATTGTTCTAAAATTAGAGCATGATTTGATTAAATACATACTGTATGTTGCCTTAACTCCCTCACTGTAGGGAGTTAAGTTGTACTACAGTTGTACTATATTGGACACTAACTATAAGGGGATTCACATACGCAGTAATATTTTAATATAATTTTGTATATTTAAGCAATCTCTCACTAAGAAATCTGACATGTAACCCTATCCCATTAACTGTAGTGTACATGCAGTAACTGGTTGTAATACACCGTGCAGGTAAACACTAATTTTCTCAATCACGACAAGTGTGGGAGCAATTCACCACACTGTTGTGGCTTGCTGAGTCACAGAGGGGTGTTGCACTATTGTCTCAGCCTGCTCCGAGGGATCATTACCTGACTGTGATGCTGAGGCTTAGTAGGCATGTTGTAGCTTGTCGTGTTAGTCATTGTTCATAATCTCCATGCGTGAATATTTAATTTACATCATTCATCATGTTTCACTGTGATGACTGATTTTTTTCCCCCTAATGGATAATCTGTTAAAAGACTGCAGAACCAACATTTAGCTGTTATTGTGGGGCAAAAAAGTTTAGCACAAACACTGAATGTTAGCTGTGTTTCAGTTCTGGTGAAGGTATTGACCTCTCAGGAAGATGGTGCTTTCACATGACTGCTCCTTAAGGACAGCAAGTCTTCCAGTGACACACACACTTCTTTTTTCCAAATACACAGTCTTGCAAACTAAGCCATTCACATATTCCCTTAGGACATATCTGTAATCAGAGCGGAAGATGAGAGAGACTCAAAGTCACTCACCCTCACTATAACTGAAGCGAGAGTAACTAATCACTTGAAGCCGTTACACAGGAAGATAGAGGACGACTACAGTTATTAACAGAGATACAATCGCTGCCATTCATACTAACCGAGAGTCTAGTGACTCACACTGATACAGACCCTGCTTACACGTACTGCAGTTGAAGCATAAAGGCTGGCGTTATTCAAAATTGTTCTTATTGTCAACACATTCCATGAAAAAAAAGCCATCAATGCATTAGTCTGTTTCTCAATACTTCGACTTCCCTACCCTAGTCTGTTACACTCATGACCATGTCACTGTAATTAGTAAAAGTCCAACATATAAACAGCGTTCACGTCAACATCCGCCTGATATCCGCGTAATAATACAGAAGCGCCTGAAACCAAGTAAGCAGTGGTGCCTTACGTCGGCCAGAGTCCATTGTTCAGTGTGATTAAATGTAATGGAAATAGTGTTGTATTATCATTGCAAGTCATTTTAACCCTCACTCAACCAGCTCTGCAATGTCAGATGAAGTCATAAACATATGTGAAACTTTCTCATCTTTACCATATGATGTGAATGCAGCATCAGCCTAAATCTCATTTGTCCCAAATTAAGACGGAAATCTTAAAACAGATAACAAATATCTTGTTTCATTTTCAGCTAGGCACTGTAGTTTTAAAGAAACATCACAAAAACATGGTGGTGGGATTCATTTGAAATAAAAAGTAGTACCTGAGTTTCTGTACAGATACCAGAATGACATGATACTTTGACAAATATAAACATGTCTTTCTACAGACTCCTTTTCCCATTTAACAAAATATGCCCAACATATCAAACATGAAATGCTATATGGCACAAGCAGCTGTCTAAATGTTTATGTAGGTCATGAACCATGTAATTAAATGAAGGCTACTGATCAGACATTCAAAGCCATCTCGCTGTACTTGACAATTATTGTTACTTGGTGCTTTGGTCACATGTTTGGTATGAAAAATATTGAGGTTCAATTAGGGCTGGGCAATAAAACAATATTGATATTATAGCAGTATAGTTTCTTCAATAACAATATAACAATATACCGTCAATAAATGTTTGATTTCATTTATTTGAATCACGAAAAAATTAGCACTTAATTTTAGATATTCATTTTGTTGAGGAAAAGGGACTGAAAAATATTTACTAATCATATTTTTGGAAAGAAAGATTTTACCGTAATTGTTTTGAATGATCTACCTCAGATTTGCGAAGTGATACACTGTTTGGCATAAGTGTTTGTTCTGACCATAAAGAATAGTTTAACCACACAGTTAATCATCTGGTTTCTTCAATTTTCTCTCAGGAGGAAAAGTCTGCCTCTAAACTTGAAAGAAACAATGATTTGAAATTTAATAATCATTGATGGTCATTGATGGTATGAAATGTTTTTATCATGATAAAATTTTTGTCCATATAGGTTTGATACTCAAGCTGGAGATCATAGTGCATTTGTTAGGATGCATTACATGCTCATTATAATCAACGACATATCACCCATTGTGAAGGAAGCACTATCTTTTGTAATGCACATAATTCAACCAGTTTAGTGGAACGCTAACGGAACGTAAATAGTGTCTGTCTGTAGCTGCTGCAGATATATGCGTGTCGGCTGTGCTTGTGTGTTTCGCCCACTAATTCTGTCAAAGATAACGAGAGTTATCGATTGACTGCTCAGCGCTGGCAGTGTGACCAAGTGATGACACAGTCCTGCTGCGCTGGAATTAGTGAGTAGCTTTAAAAGGGAAAATGCTCTTGCTGATGACTCTATGGCTCTGATGTTGATGCTGTCCTTCTCTCTGTGCTCTCTCACCAACAGCCATTTGAGGCCAGTGACCTGCTGCTGGGACTGAACTTCTCAAAGGTGCTGAGCAGTCTGGTTGCTCTGAATAAAGTGACTGCAGGTCAGTCAAAATATGTGCAATATTTGTTATATGATGCCTGTGGGTGTTATCTATGAAAGACAGGTGAGTAGTCATGAGAGTGTGTGTATGTGTGGGTGTGTGTGGGCGCGCCAGGTCTAGTGTATTTATATTTTACCTTTTCTGTACAGATATTGGTGTGGGCAGTGATTCAGTGTGCGCCCGACACTCTTCAGCCCATCGCATCAAGTCATTTGAGTCCCTGTCCTCTCAGGCTTCACTGGGCCGATCTTCCAAGCTGATGCAGAACCAGTTTCGCAGTCTGGTAAGGTCACCACTCACTAAACGGCTCATGGTTCAATGGTTCTGAGTCACTGAAAACACGAACACAATAACACTTGCCAAATATAATGCAATCCAAAGCAACAGCCATGCAGTGTGAGCACCACCTTTGTGAAGCTTATAATGTAAAGTTTTTGATGAGACTGCATCAGAGAGCTATTGATTTGATATTTGAGTTCATGGCTTGTGGCTATAATAATGTACAGTCTTTTTATTATTTTTGTCCTGTTGCAGTCCAATAATAAATAAACAATAATAATCCAATGTCGTCAGTTCATTGTAGTGGTTTGGGGGGATTGTTTCATTACGATTAAGTACTGGTACCAAGTTGATACAGTGTTTCCCACAGAATTAGGTTTGCTTTCTTTAAAATAATTATTATTAAATAATACTGTATATAAAGTGCTCCAATACAAAAATACTTTGTGACAAATAATTAACTGAACAAACAGTATATAGGCCATGGCTAAATTGCCTCACATTGTGTTAAACAAATAACAAAAATAAATACAGTGAAGAATAGAAATGAGACCCCTTTTCCTGAGAGAGCAGTTTTTCTGACTGCCCTGCTTCAGTCTCTGCTGCTCTAGCTGGCTCTCCCATCGCAGCATGTTGGCTGCTGTCCTCCTCCTCCTCTTCTACATCTCTCTCTTCATTAGCTACAGCTATCCCTTCCTGGCCCTCTCTTGCTGCTTCAGCGGCCACAGCAGCACTGGTTGAAGCCTGGAAGTATTTGAAACAAATTAATTGGATAGTTAATCACACTGACGGACTGTTCCGCTTTTCCATACGTGTTTTCAGAAGTGTCTAGGTATGCTGTTTTGCTACCTCTGGTCCAGACTATCTCTGCTCCTCCTCAGGTTAAGCCTTTTGAGTCTTTGAAAATATTTTTCAGTATTCATCTGGATTGAGAGAGCAAACATTCAGCATCAGAGTTTAAGATTTAACATTTACGTTCTCCACTTGCACGGGCAGTCGATATTGACTAGACTGTTGTACAGTGCGCTAACCTCGACAGCCCAGCTCAGAGTGTGGATTTTACCCATTTTATATAGTAAAAAAAGAAAATCATCACATGGTGGCAGTCAATGTTCATGTTGTGGTGGGCTGCCACAAATAAATCAATGTATGGACCTCTGCTCAGGTTGAAGGTTGTACAGATGTCACCAGACTTTGTGGAATAATAAAAAGCCGCAGTCACACTGGAATTGTACTTTAAAGGGTTTGTTTGCAACATAGTTTAAACCTCTGAGGGATGGAAATAATGAGTATGATCAGATGAACCATGATGAGTAATGAATATTACACAATATTTGCTGGGTTTGTTTCACAAGATGGATAAATAGATGTTTCATCGCAAAACTCTTCTTGTTCACACTTCCTAATAACTTTACATTTCTCCCATGAAAAATTGCTGTCATCAGTCTTTAGTCTCCTGACTTCACAATGTCCGTTTCTGCTCACAGCTCACTTTCCCTTTTGCTTCTCTCCCTGCTTGGTGACATCCTTCCCTCATTTGTCAGGATATGTCTGAAAACAGTGGACAGCAGCTGCTGGTGAGGGCACGTTTCAACTTCCAGCAGACCAACGAGGATGAGCTCACCTTTGCCAAGGGTGACATCATCAGTGTGACTCGTCAGGAGGACGGCGGCTGGTGGGAGGGCATGCTCAATGGCAGGACTGGGTGGTTTCCTAGTAACTATGTTCGCGAGGTCAAAGGCTCTGGTAGGTATCTCTACCTCTGTAAGACATTTTAACATTAATACAGTGATTTAAAAGATTATATAAGTTATATTTCTCATCATTTTATGTAGGTATTCCTCCCCTGCATGTGTCTGTGAACGATCACAGAGCAGCTTGAAATATTAAATAATTAGCTAAACAGACATCTTACATCTCTCTCAGACAAAACCTGCCAACCGGTACACTAAATCACACTTGCCATTGTCGTTGCGATTCCATCTGGCCTTGTGACAATAACACAGTCCCACATCTGCTGCGTCTCGAGGCCTGTTGTTTTTCCTCTTGTAAAGCAGGTTGCGTTGCCATGTTGCAAGAGGTGGCAGCTTAAAGTCTGATCCTCTGTCTGACTGACATTTACGCACTCCACCAATTTAACAATCATTTTTTGTGAGTGTAAGGATCAACGGACAAGATGTTTGTAATGAATTGTTATAGATATAATTTCAGTGGTAGCAGAATTATGTGATTATGGTGTTGCTTCAGCTAATGTCGGGTCTTTACGGCCCAGCTAGAGGAAATTCTTCTTGCAGCAAGACAGCTTAAAAACAAACACAATAAAACCACTCAAAAGACAATGAAAGGTTAATATAAGAAAAGCAAGAAAACAGTGATATTAATAAGAATAAAAGCAATAATATATATATAATAGGGATAAGATGAGATAAGGTATAAGAGTTACATATTAGAATTACGAGCGCTTATTGCACATGGGAATAAATGAAATGCTGAGATGTGACGTTTAACGAGGAAAAGAGGACAAAACAGCTACTGAAACAATGTACCATGAGCTATTGTTATTGTTTCTCATTAACTATTATTGAGTGCAAATCCTAATACACAGTAAAAAAACATAAGTCGCAATCCTGATATGCAGTTATGGTGGATATCAAGCAGTAGAACGACGTTTTTGTGCTTTATATGTGCAGTTAAACATCAGCCACTAAAAACACTTTTGTAACAGGGACTACTAATTTCTGAAACTAGTAGTAGCATCAGTTTGTCTCCAAAATGCACTTCACTAAACACTGTGTGCCTTAGTAATGATTCATGCTTAAAGAGTCCACTTTTATATGATATTTAATATTTCTTGCAAAAGTCAAGTGTGACTTGATTGTGTTCATTGAAAGTGTCTTCATGTCTCATTAGATATAATGCTTGATAGAAGAATGTCCCCTAATTTATGTATTTTCTCTCTGGCCACAGACAAACAAGTGTCCCCCAAGTCTGGCACTCTTAAGAGCCCACCTAAAGGCTTTGACACTTCTGCAATCAGCAAGACGTACTATAACTTGGTAAGAAAGCAACTGTTATTTCTGTCTTATTTTCCATTTTTTCCCCCTTTCTTTCTTTTGTCTCTGTTTCTCCACTAACACCATGTTAAAATTTAAGTCTTGTCTCTGTTTTTTGAGCGCTTTTATTCTCCCCTGGTTTTTTTCTGTATCTGTATCTCTGCTTTTCCCATTCAGTGTTTGTAAATTATTTTGCCGGAATGAGATGGAGTACCAAGATAAAATCGAGGTGGCCTTTTCACCCACAGCTTTCTCTCTACACAACTCACCGACATACTTTCGTTCCTCTTGTCTAAAATGTTCTGTGCCTAGCCATGAGAATGTTACTGCGGCTGAGGGCAGGTGTGGTTTTTGGAAAACTGCCATCACAGTTGTAGTGAAAACACGGATCAGTTATGTGGCTCACTTTCCAAACCTGAATGACCCAATTTTTCACTACATTTTTTTTAATACACAGAAGCAACATTTATGTTTAATGGTGTTTTAATAAGTTATATGTAATGTTTTGACTACAAAGAAAGTGTAATGTAAAAATGTCTCTCAAAGAACAGCGTTGTTTTTCAAGACCTCTTTCTCTCCTTGAGACAGGTACACTTTCTAATTTGAAGCTGTTTTTTTACTTTCTTTTGCAGGTGTTGCAGAACATTTTAGAAACGGAGACAGAATATTCTAAAGACCTTCAGAGCCTCTTGACGAACTACCTGCGACCTCTTCAGAGCATCGACAAGTACGACTCATTCACATGTAAAGCTTGATGAAACCAGAACCAGGTTAATTTAGCATGACTGTTGTACAACAGGAACCCGGATCAGATTTTGTACACGTCTCAAACAACAAATAACTTTTTGTTTTTTTGCATCTCACTGAATATGCTGTCACCGTTTTACTTTACCCGTCCTATCTTTTCCTCCAGACTGAGCAGCTCAGATGTGGCTCTGATTTTTGGGCAACCTTGAAGAGATCAGCACCTTCCAGCAGATGCTCGTCCAGTCGCTGGAGGAGTGCACCAAGTTAGTCACCCCCCTCCTCCCTGCACACACAGCCCCACTGCAGCAGCATCCTCATTGTTTCATAATAAGCAGAGCGACATCTAGTGTTGGGCTGACTGTACTACAGGGATGTAGTAAACCAGGGATTAAACCATAGGCTAGGGCATAGTCTGCTTATTTTATATTCTTTAGTCTTTATCAGAGTTTGCATAGAAGCATTTTGTCTGTGCGTGATCTTTTTTTTTTTTTTTTTTTTCTCTTCAGGCTTCCAGAGAGCCAGCAAAGGGTGGGAGGCTTCTTCCTCAACCTCATGCCACAGATGAAGGCTCTTTATGCCGGTTACTGCTCCAACCACCCCTCTGCAGTTAATGTGCTCACCCAGCACGGGTATGGTTACATCAACAACGTTTCCTTTTATTTTACAGTGTTTTCAGCCTGTTTTCAGACAGCAGCTCACAAGGAAGAAGAAGAGGGCTTTCGTGTTACACAGGGAAACGTTTGTTTTGTAATGTCTTGCATTCTTAACAGGAAAAGGGACTGGTTGTGTTGTTGAGTCTGTGGAGTTTGTCTTTGTTTTGTAGTTGTAGCTACCTATCCACTGGTTGTGGAAACTATTGTGGCTTGTCTCTACAGACACAAAATACTCTATAACACAGCAGATTGAGGGTGACCTGAGGTGCATCTGAATAATGTGATTTGGGAATGTTTTAACTACTGTGAATCATAATGCACTACAACAAATACTGCCTGTGAGAAGTGCTGTTTCAACTATGTTGTCACTTCACAAAAGTGCAGGTTGTTGTGTTATTAGGCAAATACACTGCCAACTAAAACAACCTAATATGAAGGTTATAATGTTAAGTGTTCGTTTAAACTGTTTTAGAGAGGTGTTGATTCAACTGTATGATCATTGTGGAAGATGTAGGTTTTTGGTGCTGTTGAGCTAAATTGCGTTCCACAGAGAGGTGTTTCTGTTATTTACCCTACTTTTATTGATATAAATGGAGTGGGCAAAATAATGGAAACACCTGTCAGTATAGCAGCATCCAAAATGACCATAATGTTTAATCAGTCTCAACTGCTCTAAAACTGTTTAAACAAAAACTTACCATTATAAACTTTTAAAAAGTATTAGTAAAAATAAGGATTTATTGCAGGACTGCATTATTTAACTGGGTGTAACAAATAAACTTGTAGCGGAGTTTAGTTTGTAAAGTGTCTTTCAGTCAGTGTTAAGGTTTCTCTTTGTCAGTACAGTTTTCCTGTTTTTTGGTATATGCTGTCATGGTTTTTGACACACTTTCGCACATCATAATTTGTCCCATGTGTAGCTGGCTTTATAACTTTGTTTACTTTACTTCAAATTTAATTTCCTTCCCAATTACTAAGGCACAAAGTGAGTGAGTTGTAACAAGCTGAAAGCCAGTTAACAATATGTGTCAAACAGAGGCCAGTTAGTCTCTCTTTGTGACACTTTGTTGGTTGCAAACCCTGTGAAGTCTGAAGAACTGTTTGTGAAGTTGATAGAAACTATCACTGTATGTCGTCAAGGTTACATAATGAGCTAAATGATTTCTTTTGACTCCCTGTCTCTCTTTCTGTATTTTCCTTGTCTTGCAGTGAAGTACTGGGGGAGTTTATGGAGGGGAGGGGGGCAGTCAGTCCTGGGATCCTCACCCTGACCACAGGCCTCAGTAAACCCTTCATGAGACTCGACAAATACCCCAACTTACTCAAAGAGCTGGAGAGGCACATGGAGGTATGTATCTAAACATCGTCGCTTGTGTTGTGAGCTGCAACAATCAGTTGTCAACTATAGAAATTAATTGGCATCTATTTTAATAATCATTTCATCAGTTTGAGTACTGTTTTAAAGGGAAAATATCATTCTAGCTTCCTAAATGTGAATATTTTCTGGTTTCTTTACTCCTCCATGATGGCAAAGAGAATTGCTAATTGCAAAAGAAGGTTTATGAGGATGTCATCTTGGGCTTTTGGGAAGCACTGATTGACATTTTCAAGACCAAACAACTTATCGATTTATATGAGAAAAAAATCAACAGATTTATCAACACTGAAAATGACTAGTTGTAGCTCTATGTGTGTTTAATAACCAACGTGTTTCTTTCAGGAGAGCCATCCTGACCGGCCAGACATTCTGAAGTGCATGGCGTCTTTCAAAAATCTATCTGTAAGTTGAGCCCCCCTTCTGTCCTGTCAAATGTGGCATGTAACCAGGTCTTTAAGCTGTTGTTTGCTTCCCTTGTTTCAGGCTCAGTGTCAGGAGGTGCGGAAGCGTAAGGAGCTGGAGCTGCAGATTCTCACCGAGTCCATCCGGTTGTGGGAGGGGGATGACATTAAGACCCTGGGCTCTGTGCTCTACATGAGCCAGGTCTTAGTTCAAAGTCCTGGCTCCGAGGTACTAGAACCATCTAACTTCTCCACATGCACTTCATTTAGCTATGAACTGCTACCAGTATTGCTTCTACACAACATTTGTTCATGTCAAAGATTTGCTATAATTGACAGGTAATCTTCTAAAAACCCTTAACAACTCCAAAACTTACCAATTTTGTAACAAACATAGCGAGTGTAAACTTTTTCCATGTGAATGGCTCCTTTCATCATCTCAGCCTCAGCTACCACCTTTTTGATGATCTGTTTATAATGTAGGGCTTGGGACACTGCAGTTGTGTAGATCAGTGGTTCCCAGCCTCTGGGCTGTGGACCGACACCCTGTCATTGAACGTCTACTACAGGGACACAAGGAAATAATATGATATGTCAAAAAAGCTGAATAATAGTTGTCAAGCTTCATCGGCTTCTGTGGAAATAGCCTCAAACTTACCGTTTGTGGCTACTAGATTTTTCTGTGCTGTGTTCCTGTTACTGTACTGTAGCTAGGTAGCTATGATGAGTAAAAAACTAAAGCATAGAGCATTTGAGAGGTGATTGAAAGAGCTTGAGCATTTCTTCAAGTGATGCAGGGGAAATAAAAAATGTAAAAATAGTGTTATATCTGAACATTTGACCTAGGGCTTTAACCAATATTTCTGTTCCCCAGGCTGATTGGCTTGTAACATCAGTGCAAAAAAAGGTTGACAAAGATCTAGATCACGCAGAGTAAAATGCAAAACAGCTGTGGTTGTAACTGTCAATAAATGCCACATTAAAGGGGCACATGCCAATTTGTCCTGTGAACCACAAAAAGGTAATGCACCACTCTTTTCACAGTTGTGATGTATATACCCAGATCGATTATAGAGAAGTGATTAGTTACAGAAACATCACTGTGAGCATGATGATGTGTGATATGCTGTAAAACTCCTGCGATCTTGACAACTTAGACGTCAACTGCCAATATCTTTTATCTCACCAGATAATTCACTTCAACTAATGTAACTATTCTCTGAGACTGTTGTGAGTCTTTGATCAGAACTAGCCCTTAGTCAAATCTTTGTGTGTGTTGACACACAAACTGGATCACACTTTATCTCTCCCATTCCCTCTCTATTCCTCTCTCACTCTACTACTTCTTCTTTTTTGTCAGGAGAAGAGTGAGCGTTACCTCATGCTCTTCCCTCACATCCTCCTCATGCTGTCTGCCAGCCCCAGGATGAGTGGCTTCATATTCCAGGTCAGTAATAAACATTTTCTCAGATCAGTCTGATTTAAGACTCTTTCTAGTCTATACTTAGAGTTCTGTACTTAATATAGTGGAAGAGAGGTATTTTCTCTCTTACGTCTTGATTGTGATGCAGTGATTTCCCTCTGCAGGGAAAATTGCCCCTGGCCAGCATGACAGTGACCAAACTAGAAGACTGTGAAGCCCATAAAAACGCCTTTGAACTCAATGGTAAGGCTACATAAGATGTTGAGATGAGTGTGATTCTTTTACACAACGCCTTCAACAACATTGTCTCTGTCCGTGCAGGCACCATGTTTGACCGTCTCCAGGTAGTGTGCACCAACCAGCAGGACCTGCAGGACTGGGTGGAACACCTGACCAGACAGATTAAGCACACTGCAGCCACAGCACCCAGCCACAAACCACTCACTGTTCCCTGCCACACGGTCAGGAGCTAATGACTACATACCCACATACAGATGATTTCATTTATGTGTTCATTTATACTCAATGTGGCTCAAACACTGCGCACACATACACACACATATATATATATATATATATATATATATATATGTGTGTATATATATGTGTGTGTGTGTTGATTTCTAGCTGTTTTTATTATGTCTACTCTACAATCAATATGCCATTAGAGGTTGGCTCACATAATGCCTAGCAATCATTTAAAATTACTATATAGCCTTGTCTGAAGTGGCTTATTTCTCTCACTAGAATGGCTGTAATGCACAATTGCATTTAATGCACAATTGCATTTAATGAAATGAATACACATGTTAATAATCAGCATTCGGCCTTTATGCCTTGAATAAACAATCAACACACGCGATGTAGGATGTCATTGGAGTATATGACATCTAGGCTACTGAGGGCTGCCTTTCCCTAAAGGACCTTTTACATAAATATAACCGAAAGATTAATAATTTTGTTGTTACTGAAACAACTGCAGTTCAGATGAATATTTGCAATGCTTCAATGACAGTTTTGAGGACCACGTGAATGTACAACTAGACTGTTGCTGTTTTGGAGATGTACTGCTGCCTAGTTAGCTGCCACTGTGACCTGGAACTGGATAAGTAGATGGAAAATAAGTGTTAAATGTATTTACATAAAATCTGGGTTGGACCCTCTTTTTCCTTCAGAACTGCCATAATCCGTTGTGGCATACTTTCAACAAGGTGTTGGAAACATTCTTCACAGACTTTGGTCCATATTGACATGATAGCATTGTGCAATTGCTGAAGATTTGTCGGCTGCACATCCATGATGTGAATCTCCCGTTCCCAAAGGTGCTCTATTGGATTGAGATCTGGTGACTGTGGAGGCTATTGGAGTTCAGTGAAGTCATTGTCATGTTCAACAAACCAGTTGCGTGAAAATCCCAGTAGATCAGCAGTTTCTGAAATAATCAGACCAGCCTGTCTGGCACAATCAACCATGCCGAGTTCAGAGTCACATAAATCCCTATATTCCCCATTCTGATGTTCGGTTTGAACTTCAGCAAGTTGTCTTGACCACGTCTACATGCCAATATGCATTGAGCTGCTGCCATGTGATTGGCTGATTAGCTATTTGTGTTAATAAGCATTTGAACTGGTGTACTGAATAAGGTGGATGTGTATGGGTAGGGAGTTCCAGAGGGATGGGGCTACGATGGTGAATGTGGATGAGGAGGCGGGCAGCAGAGTTGTGGATGTACTGAAGTTTATTTAGGACTCTGGCAGGTGAGAGCAGTGAGACTAAACCAAAACAGTAAAGTTGTGGGCTTGAAAACCTAAACTATAAGCTGAAAGATGTTAAAATGCTGAGTAGAGCTGAGGAGAACTTCACGTTTGGGTGATAATTCTCTGTGTATTCCTCCGTACGAGTGACCCCTTTTACATTACACATAGTCATTTAATCAATTGTAAAAATATTGATTAGAGCGACTTTAAAAAGCAAGAAGTACAGTTTCTGTCGTGTGATGAATCTTTTTACAAATGCCCCTTTTGTTTTGTTCCTCAGCTACCATCTCACCCTCTCACCCCATCCCGGCATGCTGATGGGAGGGCCATGACAGTGGCTCCCACCTACCACACCCTGCCTCACCCATCTTCCCATGGAACGTCTCACAGCACCCTGATGTGGGGTCCACTGGAACCACCCAACACCCCCAAACCCTGGAGTCTGAGCTGTCTGCGGCCTGCACCCCCTTTACGGCCCTCTGCAGCTCTCTGCTACAAGGAGGTGAGGGACCGTGTTTTCATCTGTTTAAGATGTTTTGATATGTTTTTGTAATGTTGATTTTCTAATTGTAATGCAATTGTCTCACCTTTTTCTGCCCCCCATGCACAGGATCTTAGTAAAAGTCCTAAGAGTGTGAAGAAACTCCTTCCCAAGCGCAAGCCGGAGAGGAAACAGTCTGAGGAGGAATTTGCCTTGAGGAAAAGTATGTTTAAAATCTTCTCTATTTATGTCTGGACTTTGTGTTGAACACAGATACAACCAAATGAGATTTTTTTTTATAATAAAAAGGAACACTTTCTTACTGAGAAGTACATGAGAGAGAAATAACATTCATATCTGTCTGTTAAGGAAGAAGTTGCAGCCTATCATTCTAGGTCTCCACAAAAAACACATATTGGTGGGGATATGGCCAAAAATGTTATGCGCAATAAAAACATATGTTATACCATACCATTCGATATCGTAATTATCATGATAAATGTCAGATCATTATCTTTATTCAAGTTTAAAGTTTTTCCTCCAGAGTGAAAATTGAAGAAACCAGTTGGTTAATTGTGTGGTTAAACTATTCTTTATGATCAGAACAAACAGATGCAAAACAGTGGATCACTTCACAAATCTGAGGTAGAACATCAAAACAATTACTATAAAATCTTTTTTCAAAAAATATGATTAAGTAAATATTTTTTCAGTCCCTTTTCCTCAATAAAATAAATATCTTGATTAGAAAAAATTAAGTCCTAATTCGTTGATGATTCAAATGAATAAAATCAAACCTTTATTGATGATATATTGAACATTTGTTATATTGTTATTGAGGAAAATAATTATTTTTTATGCCCAGTTTTATTGCCCAGTCCTAATATAACCTCTTAATTAGTGAGCTTTAGAGTGCTTCCTTCAGATAGAGCCATGCTAGCTGTTTGCCCTTGCACCTTTGCTAAGGTAAGCTAAGCGAATCTTCTGCTCTACCTTCAAACTTAATGGACCACTATGAGAGTGGTATTGATCTCCTCCTCTCTCACTTGGCAAGAAAGCAAAGAAGAATCAGCCAAGAGCCACAGAAGAGCAAAAATGTCCTTCCAATGTTTGCAGCTGCTGTGATTTGTGCCTATAATTCAATTTAATTCAAATTAACTTTATTGGCATGAATGTATAACAACAATATTGTCATGCCTATGATAGGAGGGCAACAGTGACCAGAGACCTGACGAGCATGTAAATAATTTTTCGCCTTCTCTTTCTCAGGTACAGCTGCTCTGGAGGAAGATGCCCAAATCCTGAAAGTTATTGAGGCATACTGCACCAGTGCCAAAACCAGGCAGACTCTTAACTCCAGTAAGAAAACAAGAACTATTACTTATACTGTACACGTGTATGCACAAAAGAAGAGAGGTTCATTCTGGAGCTTGCTGTCTTTGTTACTGCTATACCTGTATTCTGTTACTCAATGCCTTTCTTTAACACTGGTATTCTGAACTGATCTTTCTAACAGTATCTTCTCCTTCTGTCTGTCTCTCCTCCACTCCTCACCTTTTGGCATTGCTTTGGTTTACCCCGAGTTCCTTCATTTTCTCTTTTTTTCTCATCCATTTTTGTTTTCTCCATGCTGCGTTATAATTTTCTACATTCATTCTGACTCACCCCATCACCCCATTCTGCATCTGTCATTGGTTTTTTATGATTTACCATTTGTTGCGTGCTGCATATGATACCTCCTCTTGCCCTGTCACTCCTCTTTTTCGCCCACCATTTCCTCCCTCTAATTTCGCAACATCACCGCCAAACTTGGCGCACCCCGACCAGCCTGGCAGGGCACTGACCTGATGCACAACCACGTGCTGGCCGACGCGGACCGGTCCTGTATGGACTCGCCGGGCCGCCGTAGCAGCGTGTCTCGGCCAGAATTGTCCTCTGACCTTTCAGAGGACTCTGACTATGACTCCATCTGGACCACCCACAGTTACAGGATGGGTTCAGTGCCGCGTAAGAGCTGCATCTCTCACCAGAACTAAAGAACGTACAGTACTGCCACGCTGTACTGCAATGTAACGTACAGCGCGTTTACCTCTTTTATCTTCATTGTATTAAATGAAACTAGATTTTTTTTTTTATTTATCTATTTATTTTCTATTATATTATTGTTCATTTTTTGTTAACTTATTTGGTTTATTTATGTTGTTTTGTTTTAAGATGTTTTAAGCATCTCCCTGTTGCCTTTGCCACTTTCCCTTTTATGTGCCTCCTTTCTATGTGTAGTTGTCATGCAGTAAGTGTTTGGTAATTGTTAATTTATCTTGAATGTGACCACTCCCCTTGTTTGACCATAAATGTGGCTGACTCTCTCAGCAGGGAGTGCAGGAATGTTGGAGTGGAATATAGGGGAGGGATAACCAGGGGAGGGAGAGATGGGGACTGAGCTTTTCCTGTCTGATATTCAGATGTAATTCAGGAACGAGTGTATTCTATTTACCATGTACTACTTCTCTTCGGTATGTGTTTCTAGAGTATGTATGCTCAAACATAGCACAGATGCCATACACACACGCACAGGTTCAGGCACATACGCCCCTGCTGCCTGATAATATAGCAGCATGCAAATGAAATATTCAAATCCTCCATGTTTCGTATCATTGCTGTTTTCTTAATTTGAGTCTTTTATCATGTTGCCAGTGCTAAGCAGGATTAACTTTAACATAGTCAATGACCAAAAGCTACTAAATGCTAAATATCCTTGCTAAATGTAGTAATTTGTGAAACACAATTCATTATTTAATGTAGCTGCTACAGAAAGAGGAGATTGTCACATACACTTCACTCTCTAGCCAAGCTTTCTTCAGCTGGATAAAAGCTACTGTGCTAAGAATGGTGAATTTAAAGGGTCAGTTCACCCAAATTACAAAGACGCGTTTTCACACTTACCTCAGTCACCTGAGATTTCTGCCTCAACTACAATACAATCGAAGTGATTAGAATTTTGCTTGTGGTGATGGGATTTGTTGAAATTCTCTTTATATCACGACAGCAATCAATTAATCAAATGCAGAAATCTCGTATATGTGGCTTCGCAGGACTGTAAAAAGCTGGCCTCCCTGCACCTTTCACATGAAAATGTGTTTTGGGGGGGGGTGCCTGAAGGGACGGGGTGATATTTTTTTGGTTGGATACTACTTATAAATCTAGCTGTCTCTTGCTAGTTTCTCCTACGCTGCCTGCTCCAGCTTTAACTAAATTGTAAAGTTGTGGATGCCGAAATCTCAGAGTCAGTAACCTGGAAAACATTCTGTATCACTAGATACCATTTCTAGAGTTATGTGAGAATTTACTTTTTTGTATTTTGGGTGAAGTGTGACACTAAGTTATTAATTTTAATAGTTTAATGTACTGTGTAGTCTCCTACGCATCATCCTTTAAAACCTGATCTTCCATCCAGCAATGTTGCTGTGTGTCAGTGATTCTACAGGGTTGCATTTATATTTACTTTTAAACCTCAAGTTAGTGCATTAACAAAATAAAAGATTAATTTAAACCAGTCATTGCAAACCAGCCCGATGCTAATAAACTCTAACTACAGCCCAACACAGCTACAGTCCGGTAATACAAATCAAATATGCTTGTTTAATGTATCCTGCTAGTTAAAGGAATAGTTTGAGGTTTGTGTAAGTACGCTTTCTTTCTGTGAGTTAGTTGAGAAGATCAATGCCACTCTGAGATCTGTCCGTTCAAAATTAAGCTGAAGCCAGGAACAGCTTAGTGTAGCTTAGCATACATACTAGCCTTGTTCTGTCCAAAGGTACACTCATGGAAAGAAAGCAACTAAGCTTAATCTAATTCCTTTAAGGTGTAGCTGTTACTGGGATCTGACAATTTGACCAGGTTAGGGTAACATCAAAAACAAAGATCCCTTGTGTCACAACAAACTAGCGCCTATGCTACGGCCTCAAAGCCAGACATGCCTTTGTGTGGTCTGGCATGCGAGGCTTCCATGCTATCTCTTGCATTGATGACTATTTTTATGAAGAAGTATTTTTCCAGTATTGGTATTAAAAGTACAGGTTGGCATCCACTTAGAGTCTATCTCTTCTTACAGCTAGCAATGTGAGTGACATATGGTATATATTGGTCCATGTTACAGTACTATTTACTGTTTCTGTAATCAGTTCTTTATTGTATTCATTATTTTGTATACAGGTGTTTTTATTTATATTTATTCTGTATGTCAATGTTTACAAAACTTCTTTCTTTTGTTTTTTTTTTTTGTTTTTTTACAATTTATTGCTCTGTATCAAAGTTTACACTGAAAATTATAACATGAAGTTTTCTGAATTATTTTGCACAATCATGTAACGGCCCAGTGGGTTTGGGGGATAGAATCTGTTAAATTCTGTACTTTTTGTTGTCTACCTAGAGTGTGTATAATATAGTCTTAAAGGTAGACTTGAGTATTCAGTGTTACTGTAAAGTAAATGCTCATTCGTAGTGTAAATGCTCACCTTCTGTGTTTTGAAAGCATTGAGGGTAAAAAAAAAAAGAACCAAGAGACCGTGATTATACGGAAACATTTATATGTGAACTACTCATTCAACCTCAGAATACTGTCAGAGTGGACTTGAAATGTAAGAGCACATGGTCTCCCTTTCTGTAAATACTAGTTGTCTTGGAGCAAGAAAAAAAATCCATTCTACCATCTATGAGTATTTGAGCTAAGAATATCACTGTCCTTATATTATGTGCTATACTTTGTGACAGGTGTATTCTGTGGTTTAAGAAAATAAGTCAATACGTGAGACAGGCAGGGCGACAAGACCAACTGTCTTTGACCAACATTGTCCTCTGTGTGCTCTAATGCTGTATTCAGTTCACACATGTGACCACGTCGTATCTGCAAATAGCGCCTTCGGTGTATTTGTTCTACATTGCTGAAGTGTTCAAGTCCCAAACGCTGTATTATGAGTTTTGAATAAATCTGTCATTTGGTAGACACTGGCATTCTGGTTATTTGTAAGAAATCTGATTGTTTTTTTTTGTTGCCAGATACCACTACAGCCTCTCATTTCCTTTCAATTTCCTCTGGCTCTTGTCTGATATCTGGCCTATGCATGACTAACACACTACTACTACAAATTTTCGCGTATGTTTGGTTTTCTTCAATGCTGTCACTCATTCCAGAAAAAGAAGGTCAGACTGTGGTCTGGATTTGGTACTGACTCACCTTACTACAGTACAAGGTGCGACATAGCAAGGTGCCAATCGATGAGTGCTCTTTTGTTTTGAAACAGGGCCGCGAAGGGAAACCGGGCCGCATGTGATCATCCCTGGTGAGAAGAAAGTCCCGTTGGAGGATCCCAGTCGCAATGGACAAAGTGCAGTGGAAGAAAAGTAAGACAATAGATAGATCTATTTCTTCTCCTTTACCCTTAATCAATTCAGTTCAGCTTTATTGGCATGAATGTATAGTATTTTATATATATATATAAAATGTAATATATAGCTGTATAACTGTCTTTAGATATTTAATTCCCATATAAAGACCAAAACCAAGAATTTCTTTGTACACTTTCATACCCTGTCTTTGGCACTTATCACAAAGCCTATTCGTTCCTATGAAGAAATTAATCTTTAAAAAGAGGTCACGAATGTCATGTTAATTTCAAGAAGGCTCAGTAATTTTCCAAAACGACTGTACACTGTGTGTAGTTGTAGTATTCAAACAACATCTTAAAATATGTCGGATTGACTCAAACTAAGGTGCCCATGTTCATTGTAATGAAGGAACATGTCACTAAGTGCAACAGTGTGGTTTTTGGTCAACAATGGAGGTCTATTACACAGAGGAAAAGGCTATTATCAGGCTTTGACAGCTTGTTAGTAGGATCAGTTAATTGTTGGTTTTGCTCTTTTCATGGGATTTGTTGAAAAAAGGAAAAATACAGAAAATCACGACTTATTCTGGTCAGCAGTAACTCTGCCTTGGTTTATGCCACTGCTGAGTTACGAGGATATGCCCACATCTTTTCAAGTGTGTCTTAAAACAACACTCACATGCCCACGTACACATTTGGTAGTTCCATGCTGGCTGGGAAGTGATGCATTCCTAATGTGAATCAAATGTAAGAGATGTGAGAAGCCCAAAAAAAATTACAGTGAACTTAAACTGTTGCAATGTACAAACTGGGCATGTGAGTGATGTTTTAGGATAGACTTGAAAAAATGTGAACCTGTCCTTGAATCAGCAGTCTTGTGGGCATCGCTGATGTGTTGACCTTTTACATGTTATCATCTTAAAGGAGCGTGGTGGATGTGGTGTACGCCCTGAGGGACGAGGTCCAAGAGCTGAAACAGGTGATGTCTGGGATGTTTTCTGAAAGAGCATGGTGGTGTGATTTATCTAATATATGACGTTCAGCTAAAATTAGCTGGTTTGACTCTCAGATCTAAAAATTGTTAGCTGAGTAAAGAGTAGGCACAATGTTAGCTAAGTGGAAATAATTATATTAGTAACGATGTTTTTACCTCCCAGGACAACAAGAAGGTCAAGAAGTCATTGGAGGAGGAGCAGAGAGCACGGAAGGATCTGGAAAAGGTCGTGAGGAGGGTGTTGAAGAGCATGAACGACCCAACATGGGATGAGACAAACCTTTGAGGATCTCCATCTGAAGCTTTGAAAAGAGAAAAGAAAGTGTCACACACGTTATTTAAAGATGGTTGTAGTGAGAAAATAAGAGTGAATCTGTAAGCAGGTAATTGTGTGCTTGTTTGAGATGGATGTGTGTGTTTGCTCTGAGAGGAGTGTCAAGGTGGTGAAAAGACAGGAATCACTGTGTAACGCTGAACAAGCTTGACCATCTATCCCACGATAACATTCCTTGAACACCAAACAAGATGGTGAGGATATTAACCCTCAGTGTGTCCATCTCTTCAACCTCTATCATCGGTGTCCTTGGGGAGTGTTCAGCGTGGCTGGAAGACAAGTCGAGAGAAGTCTTCTCCCTCTGTTTACAATCATTTAACAGTACGCAGTCCAATGGTACATAAATGGTTCTGTAATGGTCTCAAAGGCCTTGGACAAGTCTGATCTGAAACCATTTCATTTCATGACCTCTCTTATGTTATTTAATTTTTTACGATTTGATTTATGTTCTGTCTCCTTCCCTGACACAGCCTGGTGTTTTTTCCTTGTTGTTGTGACCACTTTGCGGTTTGACTTTCTTTCTAGGCATCATAGGGAATTGTACAGATATTGAACTTGTACTGTAATGTAAATACTGCTAAAAGATGAGCCTTTGTCCGTTGGGAGAAATAAATGCTGTTATACGAAGAATGACTTTGAGTTGCTGCTAAGTCCGCCACCCCAAAGGAACAAGGAAACTCCGCTGTCTTTGTCTCAGTTACATACACAAAATCACTCAGGCTGGAGCAGGCCCTGGGGCCTCAGACCCTCTTTGTTCCCAAACAAACCACATTTTCACTGTTTGAATTGATGGGACATATTTTGATTATTTGGAAATGTGTTAAGGAATTTGCACTACTTAAATACTGTATTGTCTGAGGTGGGCCACATTATAACTTAATCTTGTGCGTCAAAATCTAGTTTTAAAGACTTTATCTTAGTTTATGTTGCAGTGTGGAGCTTGTGCCAAATAATCTGTGTTCAATCAAATTTCCTCTAACTAACACACAGAAAACCTAAGACCATGTTGTAGCCTACACTATCGTAGGAGTAGGCTACTGCTTGTGCTTGGTCTCTGTGCACCATACTTGATGGGAGGTGTGAGGAGATCAACCTTGGTTTTCTATGGAATGCATTGAGGTCAGGTTGATACCGTGAAAATATCTGAAGAAAAGCACCACACAAATGTTGTCTTCAAACCTTTTTTGGCCTATGTACTGTATTTATTTGGATGCTTAACACAGGTTAGGGCCTTTTTCTGAACATGAAATTTCAGCATTTCAACCAAATAGTTGTTTTTGCTTTGAATGTTTTTAAAGCCTTGCCAGGCGAAAGATTTCAGTAGGCTATTTCAAAAAAAAAAGCTTAGAAAAAAAGTAAACCAAAATACTAAGAGTGGAAATATTAGCTTCTTTTGTGAAATTCTTCAGCCGAAAAAGACTGGTGCCAAAGTAGACATAAAATAGGCTATAGTATATATAAGATTGGCGGACTCACCTCTTCCACTCTAGTGCTCAACACCGGAGCCCCCCAGGGCTGTGTGCTCAGCTCCCTCCTGTTCACGCTATACACCCACGATTGCATCCCCTGACATGGAGAGAACTCTGTTGTGAAGTTTGCGGATGACACCACCATCATCGGGCCGGATATCAAACAACGATGACACTTCGTATCGGGAGGAAATTCATAATTTTGTAGAGTGGTGCTTAGAGAACAACCTACTGCTCAATGTCAGCAAAACAAAGAAACTAATTGTTTATTGTAGCAAGAAGGAGATAAAGACACACAATCCTGTCTACATCAATGGTGCTGAGGCGGAGCAGGTGAATAGTTTCAAGTTCCTGGGAATCAGCAGAGAACCTGACATGGTCGTCTCACATCTCAAGAAAGCTCAGAAACGACTGTATTTAAGCTTAAGAAGGCCAAATTCCTGTGCCAAGTTCTTGTCAACTTTTACAGAGGAGCAGTAGAAAGCATCCTGACTGGAAACATTACAAACTGGCATGGGATGTGCACGGCCCATCTGCCGAGCATCAGAGCACCTCAGAGGTGAGCTGCCTGCGCAGAGCCCAAAGGATACTAAAGGACAGTACCCACCCAGCCACACCCTGCTGCCTTCTGGGAAGAGATATAGAAGTTTTGCTGCTGCACCACCAGACTGCAGAGCAGCCTTTCCCCACCAAGCTATCAGACTTAAACCAACCGCTTAAACTCTAATTCATCCTCAGCACTGCTCCAGTGATGACCATTTTTCATAACTGATTCTTTATTAATGTATGTTGTCTGCTGTGTAGCAGAAGGGAGTTACAAAACTCAATTTCAACAGGTTATATTGTGACAATCAACGTTCTACAAAGATTCTAGAATCCTCTGATTTGGCATCAAAGAGGATTCTAGAATCTTCTCTGGTCTAGATTTCTCTCTTCAATCAGCAGGTGGAGTGAATTGAATTTAGCAGGCAGTGTTTGCCTGTGACATTTGAATTAGTAATGTCTATGTACTGATACTGAAAACAACTTTATTAGCCTATTATTTTCTTTTCGTTTTTGGACACAACTTTTGGTTTTACGCAGCAGGTTGGAAACTATTTAAGATCAGCAACTCAGCCCACACGCGATATATTTATCTCATTGCAACAAATGTCTAACGCACCCTTCACAAAAAGGCGGTCTCTTTAAACTGTTTATGCCTGCCATGTTGTTACTGCTACACTGTTTGTTTGCTAACATTATCTTACTGCTGCATGCATATAGCATTTCTCAACCGTTGACTGTTAACAAAAGTGCGTTTACTCCGCTGCAGTTAGAAGGTGTTTCTGGACTCAGCCATTTGTCATGTGAGCTGTCAGTAAGATGGAAGAAGAGTGTTTCACTCTCTTGGCAGATTCAGACATTCAGCAGCATTCCCAAACGACTCCACTGAGATGCCAGCCAGGGATAACTCCTTCACTCCACCAAGCTAGTGCTGCGTGTGCAACAGGTAACTTTCTGTATATCTTTGACGACTGTTGGTGTTTATGTAGTTAGCAATATCAGTAGGCTAAATGAAGAGAAAGGGTTAGTTAGCCTGCTGCTGCACATTAGTTGATTTCTTTTGACTTTATCGATTTAGGCTAACGTTATCCATTTAATTATTATTCTTTACACTTGTTAAAGCACTTTGTAACTTGTTTTTGAAAAGTGCTCTACAAATAAGGATTATTATTATATTATATTATTATATTATTATTATTTCTCCTGATGTCATATTTCCTGCCCTGGTGGGCTGAGGTGCCCAACAGTGGCTGGGTCTGATGGCAGCGGCTGCTTTGACACCATATAATGACTAGCCTCAGGGCAGGCTCATTTAATTTGGGCCCAAGCATGAAAAATGCGAGGTCCCCATTGAAACTGAAGGGTATTATTTTTTTCTGCAAAGTAAATTCAGTTTTGGGGGCCTAAACGTGCTCAAAAACTCACCAAACTTGGTTTGGGGCGAAAATATTCGTATTTATGGGTCTCGCACTTGGGGTGGAAAGATGGATAGCGCCCCCTACAGACCAGCCCCCGGCCGAAGTTTACCTACATGTAGTTTTACCGTAGTTTTACCTACATGTACGAAATTTCTGTGGTACATGTATCATGTCTAGACCTCTAGACGCACAGAAAAGCCTCTTGGAGCGATGCCCCACACCCAACAGGAAGTCGGCAATTTTGGATTTAATGGTCATTTTTGGCGGTTTACACTTTGTACTTTAACAAACTCCTCCTAGGGATCTAGTCCGATTGACTACAAATTTTCGCTGTGCACTCTAAACCCATTGTCTAATTGACTTGATTAAAAGTTGTGCAATGGTGATTTTTCGTCCACGAGCATGCCCGTGGCGTGGCCTCACAAAATTGACGATTCGCCAAGAAATAGGAAGTTGTTTTAACTTCAATATACATGATCACATCTGTACCAAATTTGATATGGATAA